GTTCAGGGGCCTAAGGGAAGCAATTGACTTACCACTCACGCACGCACCCAAAGAATATGATAAATCTATGAGACTCTAACCTTGAATAAACTCAAATTTGAACCCTACAAGTACCTTATCTTCTAGGTTGTCCTCACTCATCTTGAGCCCTTTTGATCCTCTTCCCTCACTGTTAGTTGCATTCACATTGGTCTTAGCTCTTCTCTTGTATCCCCACCTCCTCAAATGAAGAGAGAACCAATCCCATAATATTAAATAAAATGAGGCAAAATTGTAAATCAAAACACAAAAAATCGATAATCAAAGTATTAAACGGTTGGGTTTGGTGCGGCCAACGATTCTAGTGTGCATGTAACATGGTAGGGTGCTAGTGGGAATAGAGGTGGGGACTGGGGTCGGTGTGGTGGAGTTGAGGAACTAGTGGTAGGCCTTCTTGATTAATGGCAAATGTGTATATGTTTGTGGGGGTGTGTGTACGTGAGGAAAACAGAGAGTAAGAAGAGAAATTGTATTTCAGTACATAAATAAGATTATTTCAATGCAAATTAAGAGGGGTTTGGAGAGAGTTTGCATTTGGAATCGAAAACACATTTGTAGATAGGAGGGTAGAATTGAAAAAAACATGTTTTGAAATTGGCCGTCTCCAACATTCTATTGCAAGAACAACTACCTGAGGATAGTCCTACCATGTGATGAAAGGACAGAAATATCTGGCTAGAGAGGAGAGAGAGAGAGAGGTGTAGGGTAGTGTTATCTCAGAGTACAGCACCAAGAAGTTGTGTATCCCAAGCCACGTTTTCTGATCAAAACAATGATACATGTAATGATTAACATAGAATCAATGTCAATCATTCCAGTTCTGTGAAAACCCAACCAAGCATATTCTGCCCCCAACAAGATATGTGTGTGCTTCCCACTCCCTAATCAAGTCACCAGGATTTGACATTTGGTACTGGTATTCAACTACCATTAAAATTTTCACCACATACTTTCTTTCTTTTTTAACTGTTCACCACATACTTGAAGGATGCAATAATATTGGTTTCACCTATGCCTCAAACATTTTTTAAAAAAAATATACCCACACCATTTGAAAAGATTCTTAAATGTGAATGTTTGACGCTCAAAGTTGGGATGAGTTACTACAAATAGTTATGTCAATTGCACGAAAAAATTACTACAACGATTTGAAATAATTGTACCATTATGGAGGTTATATGATTTGCTCTTGTAATAGAGATCAGGGTCAAAAGTGGGTTAGAGAAACGTCCAATTTATCATCTCCGATGTCTAAGTTAGTAAGTATTCAAAGAGGAGGATAAGACTGTTATTGCGCTAGATTACTTGCGAATGCGTAACTGAGATCCAACTTATAGAGTTATTTATATTTTCTAATAGGGTGATGTGGCATTATAGGAGTCCTATTTGGCCGGATGAGAGAGCCTTTATAGAGTTAATCATTAGTGAGTTATACTTCCCTCAAGTCGCACAATTACTAGGCTGGGGGGATTAGGGCATCAACTCCCTCAATGTACATCCCCTTAGTATTTAAATATCTCTACAAGACATTTATTGGGCTGCGTCGAATACTCATTACATTAATTTTGAACTTTAAGTAAGTTTTTCCTTGAGAAATCCACGTTAGTCAGAATCGTGCATTTATTCAGATATCACGAGATTCGAGATAAAGTCTAATATGACCTCTCGGTGGAGTCATGGTGGACTCACATCCTTATCTAGTGTTAAATGCTAGGCCTCGTGGAGGTACTTTAACCCTTCGCATTTTGGGGCTCCTCGGACTCTAACCTTGGGTTCAGTCTGTGTTCTCAGTGTGTCACTGTTTGGGTCCACATTTCATACTATGATACGAGTGTCATTGTGTTTTGTCACCAATTATTAATTTTTGAATTTAATTGCTTAGATATGAATTAATATTTTTTTATTGATAATTCGAATTCAAATCCGAATTTGAATCAGTTATATTATGTTTTACAGATTTGAATTTAGATATACTTATATTCGATTCAATTATGACATAATTCAAAACTTTCACATATCTCTATATAAATATTAAAGAAATTAAGTAATTATTTTAAAAAATAGATAAAATTTAATTTAATGAAGTTATTCAAAACGGATCGAATTTTGAATTTTTAACAAATTGAGATATGTACTATGAACATAAAATCCGTCAGATAATCGAATTGAATTCTTAAAATCGGATTTAACGCATCATTCAAAATCTGATCAATTGATAGATCTAACTGCAAACCGTCTCCTTAGCGCTAAACTACATCTTGTGGTATCTTTTTAGACCAATCTCCCATCCCATTGGACTTGGGTGGATAGATTACGTCGCCCGCAAATTATGAGTGTGTATAACTTTGATATCACTTATCACTCCCTAACATTTAGACGAATCGAAAATTGTGTAGCGCACCAGCTTATTAGGAGGGTTAGATACTATTAACACTTTATTGTTTGGGAGGATATGACACCAAATTTTTTAGTGGCATTCATCTATTCAAATTTTTTTACTTAATATATATTTCAAAAAAAAATGTTGTCCTTTTTATACTTAGTTTACAGAGCTTTAAAACATGTTATTCGATGAAGTCTCAAAGTTGATATATAGTTGGTACATAAATTTTACTTTCGATCTTAATTTGGTCCCTATATTTTTAATTATTCAAATTTGGTCTTTTAATTATCATTTTTTGTCTTAATTAAGTCTTTCTATCAATTTTCACCAATAAATTAACCGGAAACCAGCTCAATCTGATCTATTTGCATATCAATAATATTATTTTGACTTAATTTATTAACTTAATCTATCATAATCATTGAATTTATTTTGAATTCCAATAAATATTGGGACCCATTGTCAATCTAACAATTATGAGTAATTAGATTAATAAATTATATTCAAATAGCATTAATCAATCCATATACACCTATTTCAAATGACAATTACCAAAAAAAACATGACATTTATATTTCAATCCACGTCTTGTGGCACAAACATTGGATTGTTAACGGATTCGAATACAGATTACAAAAATAAAATTTGTCGAATTATCGATTCCGATTCGGATCGAATTCAAATGCGAATTAATCAAAATTCAATTCAAATAAAATCCGTTAATGGACCTACCAGTAAGTGATATCATCCACCTGTAAGTGGTAGTGTGAGTGAAAAAATGAGCCAGGTGAGTCCTATGTGGGCATCTCCAACACAAGTGGGTTATTTGTAACTTTAAAGTTTAGACATTGAGAGAGCACCACGTAAACGGGTTTTTAGTCCATAAGAGAGGGCATGCCACAAGAAAGTGACCCTTCCAAATGGTAGACCTGGCCATCAAATGGACAGATAGAGACCCCTCGAAATTAAAGACCACCCCTTGCCCCAGTAATCACAAACTCTCCCTCTCCCCTCACCATGAGAGTTCTAAACACCAGTAGTGGAGCCACCCACTATCCATGAAAAGGCCATTTCACATACCAACATTTGTAGAGAGAGAAAGTGTTGTTGGAACTCCCATATTAATACAAGAGCACTCTTTTCCATGCACAAGGGTCCATAGCTCTTTCCTTTTGAGAGAGAGAGAGAGAGAGGGTTGAAGGTAATACAAGAGCACTCTTTTCCATGTGAAGGGAGGGAGATGATGGATTTTGCTTTTTCTTTTTCTTTTTCTGTGAAGTGGAAGATCAAAAAGCAAATATGCCTGCTTTTGCTTTTGATCAGCCCTCTCTTTAAGACTATTCCATCTTCTAATAAAGCTCAAATACACATTACATAGAGACCTTCTTGGTCTTGGTCCCAGACCAACAAGGCAAAGGAAGGAGAAGGAATAAAGCTGAAGAAAATAAAGTTTACTTGGGTTGGGTTGCTTCTTTCATGCAACCTATCCATGCAACACAATTATATATTGATCATTCCTCATAAAACATTGTAATGATATATTAATAATCATCATCTTTTACTTCTCTTACTTTCACTGTTGTTGTAGGCACATGTCTGCAACCCTAGCACTGAAGGGAAAAGAAATTCAATTCATAATATATATACTCAGCAAAGTACACAAAAATGCTGCATTTTTCTAATGTACTCTTAAGCTTAATTAACTTATCAGTTGCCTTGCATGTGCCAAGTGAACAATGTCGTGTAGCTCAAGTGGTAATGCAGACAAGTTAAAAATTCAAACATTCTGAATTTGAATTTTATCAACTTTTTAAGGTCAAGCAAAGTGAATTTATCCCTCATAAATATCCTAGTCCCGACATGGATAGTTTGTCTTTGATTGGATCAAAGAAGGAATTAACTGAAGTATGTGTAAACTGATTCAGATATCTCTGACCGTTGAACTAAACAAAAAAAATAATGTGGTGTAAAAGAATCATTATCAAAATGATAATTCTCTTCGATGATCGAGAGTTGTGCGCTTTTTGGATTAATGTGGTTGCTACGTCGTGAACTAGAGATGTACATAATTACTTGCAAACCACTCGTCAAGGTGTGGTAATTTGCTCTTTAGGTCGTCCTTGCAAGCAATATTGTTAGGAACATTTTCCCTTAATGACCTCATTATTCTTGCATTATTAAACATGTACACATAGCACATACCATCTGTTCTTCTTAAGCCAGTGTTAGCCATTTTCAGTCCTTTCTCTTTCCTTTTAACTATGTTGTCATGCAAAAGCATAATGCATATTATCAGAAGTATGTGGACAGCTCAGCCATTCTTCATGAATGAAAGTGAAATTCCATCATCTCTCACTCAAAGTAAAGAGTGTCCTTTGATTAAAGCTAAAGGGTATTTTTGTCATGTAAAGAAAGAGAGAGAGGACGGGGGGAGAATCAACTTTTCTTTTTCTCTTAATCCGAACTTTAAATTTCTGTTATCCAACGGCTGTTTCTTTTAATTCACACCTTTCCTTTTTCTCCCTTTGCTTTGCTTTGCTTAAAGAAGCTCATGATAATACATATAGCTATTGATCATTACAAACCCATTTTTAGCCTAAAATCAATCTTCCTCCTCTTCTTCATTTAGAGAGAGAGAGAAGGAAAAGCACAGAGAGAAAAGGGGCGGCTTAGCTTCTTCCTTCAATTTCAAGACTCTTTCTTTGAAGATGTTTGATTCTTTAAACCCATACATCCTTGTAGTTTCTCAGATTCCCTCAACTTTTCCTTCCTTTCCAGGAAAATCCATTACCCTCCAACCCCTTAAATTCCTTTCTTTCTTCAAGTCCTTCTAAACTCACTGCCCATGAAAATTTTCCAGGAAAATATGGTACCATTCCTTCTTCTAACTCTCTTCTCTCTTGTGGGTACCTCTGTTTCATACTCTCTTGCTAGTGATTTTCATGCCTTGGTCACCCTCAAACAAGGTTTCGAGTTCTCCGAACCAGCCCTGAGCTCTTGGAATTTGTCAAATCCAAGCTCAGTTTGTTCATGGGTTGGAGTAAAATGCTTCCAAGGAAGACTAATTTCCCTCAATGTATCAAACATGAACCTCTATGGCACTGTTTCCCCTGTTCTTTCAAGCCTTGATAGGCTAATAGAGCTCTATCTTGATGGAAACAACTTCACTGGCGAAATCAATATCGCGAAAATGAGCAATCTTCGATCTCTTAACATATCACACAATCAGTTCAGTGGTGACCTGGATTGGAATTACTCTAGCCTGGCGAATTTGGAGTTGTTTGATGCTTATGACAACAACTTCACTGCCTTCCTTCCTGTTGGGATTGTGAGTTTGGAGAAACTCAAGTACTTAGACTTGGGAGGAAACTATTTCTTTGGCAAAATTCCTCGAAACTATGGCCATTTGGTTGGCCTGGAGTACTTTTCAGTCGCAGGAAACGATATCCACGGGCGAATTCCCGGTGAGTTGGGCAATATGACAAACTTGAGAGAGATCTACTTGGGTTACTACAACATCTTTGAAGGTGGTATTCCTAGAGAGTTTGGAAAATTGGGAAATCTAGTTCACATGGATCTTTCAACTTGTGAATTGGATGGATCAATTCCTCCAGAAATCGGGTACTTGAAGTCACTCAACACACTGTTTCTGCACATCAATCTGCTCTCAGGTCCAATACCAAAGCAACTAGGCAATCTAACAAGCTTGATCAATCTTGACCTTTCAGCCAATGCCTTCACTGGTGAAATCCCATTTGAGCTCATCAATCTCAAACAGATTAGGCTCATGAACCTGTTCATGAACAAACTACATGGGTCAATACCTGATTTTGTTGCAGACTATCCTGATTTGGAAATTCTTGGGCTATGGATGAACAACTTCACTGGCGTAATCCCGGATTCTCTAGGCAGAAATCGGAGGCTTCAAGAGCTCGATTTGTCGTCCAACAAGCTCACTGGTACAATCCCTCGAGACTTATGTGCTTCAAAACAGCTTAGAATATTGATTCTGCTTAAAAATTTTCTCTTTGGTTCAATACCAGAGGACTTGGGCACCTGTTCAAGCCTTGTTAGAGTGAGGTTGGGGAAGAATTACTTGAATGGTAGCATTCCAAATGGGTTCATTTACTTGCCTCAGCTAAATTTAGTTGAGTTGCAAAACAATTACTTGTCAGGAACTCTTGCTGAAAATGGTGATTTATCGTTGAAGCCTGTTAAATTAGGCCAACTCAATCTATCGAACAATCTTCTTTCGGGTTCTTTACCATTTTCTGTTTCGAATTTCTCTTCCCTCCAAATCCTTTTGCTTGGTGGAAACAAGTTATCCGGTCCAATCCCACGTTCTATAGGTGAACTCCACCAGTTACTAAAGCTTGATCTTAGTGGGAATTCTTTTGCTGGTGAAATCCCACCCGAAATTGGTAACTGTGTCCTCCTCACTTCCCTGGACTTGAGTCAGAACAATCTCTCTGGCTCAATCCCACCCGAAATTTCAAGCATTCGAATCCTGAATTACTTGAACTTATCAAGAAATCATCTCAATGACACCATACCCAAATCAATTGGTTCCATGAAAAGCCTCACAATTGCTGATTTCTCCTTCAATGATCTGTATGGTAAGCTACCCGAATCGGGCCAATTTGCTTTCTTCAATGCCTCATCATTTGCAGGCAATCCACAACTCTGTGGATCCTTACTGAACAATCCTTGCAATGTCACCCTCATCACCAAACCACCCGGAAAATCCTCTAACAGCTTCAAGCTAATCTTTGCCCTTGGCCTATTACTTTGCTCTCTAGTCTTTGCAGCTGCAGCTATAATCAAAGCCAAGTCATTCAAGAGAGGTGGTTCCAGTTCTTGGAAAATGACCACATTCCAAAAGATCGATTTCGCGGTTTCCAATGTCCTGGAATGCATGAAAGATGGTAATGTGATAGGTAGAGGTGGTGCTGGCATTGTTTACCATGGGAAAATGCCAAATGGGGTCGAAATTGCAGTGAAGAAACTGCGTGGATTTGGCAGTAACAGCCATGATCATGGATTTAGAGCTGAGATTCGAACATTGGGAAATATTCGACACAGAAACATTGTCAGACTCCTGGCTTTTTGCTCAAACAAGGACACAAATCTACTTGTTTACGAGTACATGAGAAATGGGAGCTTAGGAGAGTCTTTGCATGGTAAAAAAGGTGGATTTTTGAGTTGGAACATGAGGTACAAAATTGCTGTGGATTCGGCAAAAGGATTGTGTTATCTTCACCATGATTGTTCACCATTGATCGTTCATCGGGACGTGAAATCGAACAATATTCTGTTGAATTCGAGCTTTGAAGCTCATGTTGCTGATTTTGGGCTGGCCAAGTACTTGGTGGATGGTGGTGCCTCAGAGTGCATGTCAGCAATTGCAGGGTCCTATGGTTACATTGCTCCTGGTATGTGCCTGTCTTTCTTCTTTCTTATGCATATGCTTTTTAACTACTCCAAGAAGTTGTTCTTTGTGTAGATTGTAGCCTAAGGGTAGTTTGCTACTTGTTTTTTCAGCTAATCTGACAAGGGTTATACTGTTACATTTGTGGGTATGATCGGGGACGAATTCTTTTGACATGACTTTAGAAGGTGCGTTTAAGAAAATAGTGAGAAGTTTGGAAAAACGAACGCTTTGAAAATACGAGTAATCGCGTCAAAAATTTTGAGATATTTTGAAATGTGAACTCTTAGATGTGTCATTGGTTATACATTTGACCAAGAAACTGTTGTCATTATCACACACTGATCAAATAATGAGATTGAAAAATGAAATTAGAGATTGTGTCCCTTCTATGGTAATGCTGACCAAGTAGCAAATCAATTGGTCTTATCTTTTAAACTTATTTTTTGGTTAATATAGTATTACCCTTTAATAATGTGTAGAATTATAGTATTTCATTTATAGTAATAGAGATTAGGTGTCAAACTATGACACGATTTGTTAACGCAAAACAAATATGATACACAATTAAAAAGTTTGGAGAAATCGAAAGTTTTGTCGGAGAATAGGTGGCATAGTGGTGCTACGAGATTGCTATTTGTCGTATAAAAGAATAGATATGGGGACCAATTGATTGGACCATAGATGTGAACTGATCGATCACTGCCTAATAGAAAATAAGTAATTCTTCTATCATTTAAGGGCAAGGGAAGAACATATAGCTGCTTGCCTAGATCTCCTAGTTCCCACACAGTCCATCAGTCAAACCAATGATTCTCTTCTCAAAGTAATAGAGAGTCCTTTTTTTTTTTTCCTTTAAATTATCCATTTTGTATATAAATAGACACGACACGACACTATAGAAAAATAAATTTGATATGAGTAAAATTAATTAAAAAAAGTATAGGATACAACTAATTTATATACCGATTATATTACGATTGATATATAACACAAATCCGATATAACATGATTCATAAGATACGAATTAATAAATAAATTGAATATGAGAAAACTTTTTTGCTAAAGTGACAACTAAAAAATCATCCATGATTTGTTGATGATCGAGGAATCACTAGAACAAAGTGTATAATTTTTTGGGTAACTACACCAGATCATGGCCGTCTTTGCGATACCCCACTTCGTAGAAGTAAGTAGTGAGGTGGGGTCCAACCTCGATGATCAGAAAATCTCTTAGCGGTCAATCGGACCACAAGGATTCTGACAAAAGATGTCTAGCGTAACAGCGCCGAGTGTCGTGAAAGGTAACCATGCATATCATTTTACGATTTAGGCGGAAAAAAAGCAAGCATAGTCACCCCAACCAAATTGTCCCCCACCTCCTTTTGTGCACTAACTCATAAATCTTTTAGTTTTAATTATATTTTTTTCCAAACGTTTAGCCATGTTAATTAGGGTTCTTTTGACTTGTTGATTTTGTATTATGCATATATTATATTGTTTTAAAATTTATTTAATTCAAACCTATTATATTTATAATCATTTGTACTTAAATTCGTATTACATATAACCGTATAAGTCAGATTTAATAGGTTTATATCGTGTTTAGCTAGATTTATGTTCATTCATTTATCTAGCTAGTTTAAGCAGTGTTTCTGTTTATCACTTGAACTTGTCAAAATTAAACATAAATTCACTTATCTAATGTAAAATGTCGATTTCGTGTAAAATTTGTTAATCATGTTGAGAACTGTCGGGGGTGAGTTATAAATGCAATAAACTATTGTGTGGAAACAATTAGGAATTGCCATCTCTTTTGGCATATATATATATATATATATATATATAATTCTTTATTTATCTATCTATATGTAGTTAGTTTCACTTAAATTCATGATGAAAGGATCATTGAAAGTAAATATATAGGCGTAAGGTATCAACTGTATGTCTCTCTTTCCTTCTAGCCTTATTAATGAACAAGATGTTTTTGTGGATCATAAGGAAGGAAGTAGTTTACTTGTATAGTGTTTTCTTAAATGCAAAATTGATTTTGTAATTGTGTTGTTCTATATCTCTTCCCTTACAGAATATGCATACACCCTGAGAGTAGATGAGAAGAGCGATGTATACAGTTTTGGGGTTGTTCTCCTAGAACTCATTACCGGGCGTCGACCAGTGGGTGATTTTGGAGAAGGTGTGGATATTGTTCAATGGAACAAAAAAGCAACCAACTGTCGAAAAGAAGACGTGATTTGCATTGTTGATCCTAGACTCACCACAGTGCCCCGTGATGAAGCAATGCATTTGTTCTTTATTGCCATGCTATGCACCCAAGAGAATAGTGTTGAAAGACCAACAATGAGAGAGGTGGTTCAAATGCTTTCCGAATACCCTCGTTGCTCTCCCGAAAACCAATCCTCGTCTTCTTCTATCGTTTATCCACACAAGAAAAACCTCGAGAAAGAAAAGAGTTTCACAAAGCTTTGACGAGATCCGTCGTTTTTTTTTATATAAAAGTCGAAATTTAGGATTTTTTTTTTTTCCTTTAATGGTTTCTTTACATGGATTGATTATGGTGTTGCACAAAGTTCATTGATCTTTCTTCTTTGTTCTTATTTAAGACATAGAGATTTCGTGGCCAAATAGAAGTAGGAATAACTAATGGATGCACTTGATTTCGAGGAGTGCCCCTTAAGTATAGGGCTTGTAAGCTTTAACTTGTTCATGCACGATTTTTGTGTTATAGTGTATACAAGTTGTATTTTCTTTCCTTTAGTGTATTTGATTGCTTCATACTTCTTCAAAGGCTTATATTCTTAGTTATTGAAAGAGTTAAACAGTACAAAACCAAACAACTTCTTAATGTTGAGTTAATGTGAAATAATTTAGATTCTTTAAGAAGACAGTGTGAGAATCTCGATAACAAGGGGGTGAGGTGAGATCGAGATCATAGTTTAAGAATACAAAGTGTAATTTGCTCTAATCGAGGTGAATCTTCAATTGATTTTTTCTAGATTTAATCTAGGTTTATCCATTCGATAAAAATAATTAATAGTTTGACAATCAAATGATTTCAGGACATACCACGGAGAAGCCCAATTGGAAAGTAGAAGGTTTTAATGATCAATATTGAAATGAGACCCAAAAGAGAGCATAAGAAAGAAAATTCCTTGATCAAAAAATAAAAACGGAGGAAAATGAGATAAATAAATCTACATATATACAAAACGGAGAAAAAATAGAGAAAAATGAGATAAATAAATCTACATATGTACAAAACAGAGAAAAAAACAATAAATCAGATTGTCGACAATTGTTCACACTGTTGGGATATACAAAAATATTTTAAAACTTCTAAATTATTTTATTGAGATATGATTCGGTTTTAATTCTAGATTTGTTTTGATTAAGAGTTGTCATTAATTTCGTTTTCATACCATTTACATTAGGCTTTTAATGGGTTCTTAATATTTTTTATGGTTTGGGTTGTTAAATTATATTTCAATAGTCCTATTGGAGTCTTTCAATGTGGGGGTCAATAGTGTGTGATCGATTGGGCTTTAAATGAGGCCCACAGCTCAAGGCCCACACTTGTATTCATATTAAGGGTTCTCCACACATTGTATCCGTGTGTAGATATGAAAAAAGAAACAAAACCATAAATAATAAATAAATAAAAAAAGTGGAAAAGTGTCTATTGTTGGATTGAATATAGAGTGACGCTATTTGGACTTAAAAATATAAAGTCACATCATGTGGACCTAAAAATTTGACCTCATTTACTGACCTGATTCGCATAGAGTTTATTTTTTGGTACACTGTCATTGATACATCTCATGCATATTTTTAGAATTCTAATCTACGTTTACATAATGATGACATGTTGGTCAAAAGCCGCAATGTCCCCGATCACCTACGAGATTTTGCAGAGGACTTTCGACGTGCTACAAGAGTACGATACGATATGAGGCTCAATGCCTCAAAATGCTCTTTTTGGGTCGAGTCAGATAAATTCCTAGATTTTCTGTTTACCAAGAAAGGAATTGAGACCAATCCTAACCAAATCAAAGCATGGATTGAGCTACAAACCCCAAGAATCATAAGGGAGATACACAGGCAAGCAAGAATCGTTGATGTGCTTATTAATAGATTCATATCCTAGATCATCTGATAGGTGCGGTGCATACCATTCTTTCAAAGCCTTAAAAGCCAAAGGGAATAAACATTTGGACAGAAGATAGAAGGATGGAAGGAAGCATTTAAAGAATTAAAGTCTTATCTAGCAGAACCTCCACTCCTAATGACGACGCACGCGCTCGAACAAAAATGAGCTATCGTCGTATATAAACTTGGCAGTCTTCAAACATGCAATGAGTGAGGTACTAATGAAGAAATCTAGAAGGGACACGAAGCTAGTATTATGTTAGCAAAACCCTATTTGATGCATATACCATATATTTGCCTTTGAAGAAATTAAACCTAGCTTTGGCCAGCCCCGATAAGGAAATATATATATATATATATATATATATATATATATATATATATATATATATATATAATTACATACCCTAGAAGAGGGAGACTAATGTATTTAAAATTAATCAAGTGACATCTAACATAATGCACAAGACTAACACCCAAAAAAAAAAAAAAACCCAAAGCTACTCCATTATGAAGATGGACAAATTTTATGTATTTGGGAGAAACTTTATTTTAGAATACCTTCAAATAGCATGGCAAAAGGGATTTTCTTATCGATTCAAGTGAAGAAGAATCTAGCTATAATCAACCCTTGATGGACAACAAGGGTTGCAACGACTTCATTGCTACCAAGGTTTGAGCCGTCAAAAGAGAAGAGACATTGTCGATTTTGTTATGGGTTTATAAGAGATGCAGTTTAACTTTTTTAGGATTAAAAGGTTGCTTAGATTGGATCCACCCCGTTGGTTCAATTCGGTTTCGAGTCGACCAAGCAGATAAGATTTTATCTTTCAAAAATTAGACTTAAAAATTTAAACAAACTATAAGATTTTCTTGTGATAACGAGCTTAGTTTGGTTGGTTCTTACATTTAATTTTTAGACATCTTTGGTTAGTAAATATTAGAGCATCTCCAACAATGTTTTCTATAATACTTAAACTTTTCAAATATAAAATGTTATACTTAAACTAAAAATATTTTAAATAAATATCAAATATTTTAAATTTTATAATCAAAATTCATGTTCTATTATGACATTTATTGAAATAAAATTTAAAAATAAAAATCTAATTTTTTCTTAAAAAATCATAATTAGTATACACTTATACTCTTTATTATAATTTAATTTGATCATTTAAACTACTAAATTACCCCAATTAAAGATAGAGGATATTCTGTCTACTATAGTTTGACCTCTTATTTGATTTTTTAATTTTATTCCAATAGATAGTATAATTGTTGATTAATTATAATTTTTTAAGAAAAAAATTAGATTTTTATTTTTTATTTTATTTCAATAAATAATATAATAAAACATGAATTTTGGTTGTAAATTTTAAAATACTTAATATTCTATCTTTGATAGAAATTTTTATGGTCTAAATATAATATTTTAAACTTGAAGGGTCTAATATTATATGCCTATAAATTCAAGGGGTCTGAGCATGATTTACTAACATTGACAGCAGAGGTTTAAGTGTTACACGTGTACAAATTTTAGGAGATTTTATATAATATTTTAATTATAAGAGGATTTAAGTGATTAAATGACAAATTTTAAGGGATCTGAGTGTAATTCTTCCTAAAACTAATTTGCCAACTACATCTAAGCGGGTCGGGTTTATAGACGGGCCGGATTGAAATTGAATTAGTATTTAGTAGTATGTACAACCCTATAATCTTTTCTTCATCCCCAAGATTCAGGCGGCTGGTGTTTGGCTTTTTGTTTGTCTTCGACTTACTCATCCAACGGCTCACATCACTTTCCACTTTAATAAGGAACAAATATAGTCCGTCAGATCTCAGTTAAGGGTTTTGGCCCTTCACACACCTCCCGCCCCCTCTGCTCATATACCCCTCCAGTAGATCCACATCGCTCTCTCTCTCTCTCCACACGGAAAACCGCTTTTGGTGTACGAAGCAGTTTTCCGAACTACTGCGAAACCACCGGAGCTTCTCATTTGAGTTGTAGTTGGTGTTTATCGGATCGGAATCGGAGGTCTAGGGCTTGAATCGGCGGCTTAGGGGCTGTTGCAGTTAGCAGATACGTGTAGGTTTGTTTTCCATCTAGTAGTGCATATTTGTCTTTTTTCCTCTTACAAAAGTCTTGGATGTTCGTTACTTACAAGAGTTTTTGATTCCTGTTGCATTGGAAATTTCGACCCGAATTCTGTATCTCTCTCTCTCTCTCTCTATTCATTCACATTTCCTATAAATATCATAGTATATTTTTCTCTTCAAATTTCGCCCTTTTGTTCCTCTCCATTGAAAGCAAGTTTGAAGCAATTTTTTTTTCCATTTTCTTTGCATAAAAGTTTTTGAACAAATTTTCCCTTCTCCTGAACAGGGTATTGTCTTATATAGTGTCATTTTGTCTGGAAGAAGAGAGAGAATTTGATTTTTTTTCTTTTCCTATACTTATTTTTTAGTGGCTCTTCGTTTATCATTGTTATGCCTTGATTTGGGTTTGTAACAGAGAAAGCTTTCTTTCTCTCTTTTTTTCTTTTCTTTTTATGTGTATTTCGTGGAATCAAACCGTAAATATAACTTTTGCCTGTAGCCTTTTCATTTACAGCATCGTACCAAATATCCGACGTTCTGTCAAAATATCTCATATTTCCGGGGTTATGTATTTATTTTTTAAATAGAAAAGGGAAAATATCTTGTTGTATTTTTTTTGCCATGTGGAATTGTGATTGATATCTTGTATTATTCTAGGAAAGCGAAAATATCTTGCTTTCATTTGCCATTTGGAGTTGTGATTAAAATTTGAATTATTCTTTTCCTGGTGAGGAAAAATTGAATTATTTTTTGACTATTCATCTTTGTGTGCGCATACATGTGTATAGACTGTACATTATTTTGATATTGTATGCTATTGGAGAATAATAGGAAATAAATAATGTTCTTCTTTATGTCAACGAGGGAAGAATGGAATTCTCTTTTACAGCCTGTAGCTTTCTTTTGTTTCCCTTTTTTGTTTTTCTTATTTTCTTGTGATTCATTGCAGGTGTGGAATTGGGTTTAAATGACAATGGCTGGAGAGAAGAAAAGCGAGCAATGTATCCTTTGTTGATTGCATTTTTGAGCCAACATTGATTGCTGGTGTGTGATGATGCACCTGTATATGTCTATGAGTTTTGAGTTTGTAGTTTTTCTCGGTTTTTGGAATGTAAAATTTGTGGGTTTTGCGGATTTTGTTCAAGCTGAGTCGTTGTGTATGTGCTTTTATGCCATTACAGTAGTTTGAGGGCAGGATCACATGACATTTAGATTGACCCATGTGACTGAATAGTGGTGTTGATGAAGACCAATGATTTGCCCACAGGATTGTAGCAACTTTATTGATGAACTCAGTCGTAGAACTCTCTTGAAAACCATCTTTGCTAGGGAAGGGTGTCCACCTCTAAGTCCATACTCACCCATGTGGGATCATAACATTCGACCAAGCTTTTGTAGCCGACTCCAATGATCGTCTACTTTGTTGATGCTGACCCAGGAATAGCTCTTTCTTTTTGACGGTTGAACTCACCTGTTGGTATTCAATGATACATATTATCAAGAGATTATAGCAAGACAATTTTAATGCAACCGATAGATCGATCTTTCTGTGACTCAATTACGGAGAGCCACAACCCATACTGCCCACAGGTCATATCCTATACTCAATGTAGTGGCAGGCGTTGATACCAATTATACAAAGCCATGGGTAGAACTTGCCCTCATCTATGCCATACTTAACCTATGTGAGATCGTAACGTTGATGCTATTGATGGCCAATGAATTCAGTATTGTTTCCATGGTTGGACTGTTGGATTCTGTGCAAAGTTGGCTGTAGGTTTTTCATCGTGATTTAAATTCAATGATTTTACAGGAGTCATAGTAAAGTACTCTGGATTTGTACTGCCATATATCGAAAATGATTCCTGGCTTACTACTTCCGCCTATCTGCCTGCCATTACCAGCTGTTAACCGCTCCTCCCTCCTTGCCTATTCGCTAGCATGACTTTTCTCTTGGCACAGAAATTAATCTGCTTTTTTTTTTCCTGATGCATTTATAAATGCTTTACATTTTCCTAAGGATTCGAGGGTTTTGAGTGAGATATGTTTGCAATTTTATTCCTTAACCATATTATCTAGCTGAGCCAGTTGCAGCTGGAGTGAAGTCTGATTCCTGTACTAAATTGCCTGAGCAAGGCGTGGTATGCCACCAGTGACAGCTTTTTCCTCACACGTGTTTTCAGTTTTTTATTATCTCCCTTACATTTTACTTGCTCTTTGTTGAGATTGAATATATTTATAGTGAGTGGAAGTAGTCTTTGGCTAAATTTGACAATTACATTGTTTGAACGCTATAATTTCCTGATCAGTTACAATACTTCCTATGTTTCATGCATGATAATTTGTTTGGTCATATCTTGTACTTTGTTGTGCTCTTTTGGTTCGTTGGTCTTAGGAGTTATGCCCGTCACATGGAGTTTGAAAATGCCATATACGAAGCTGAGGCCTTCTAGACTTAACAAAACCCGAGTAACTCTTTTTTGTGAAGAAGTCGTGTTCATGTTTGTGAAGTGGTCATGTTTCCCAAACATGACTTGTGCCTAAGAAATTATAAAAATGGTAAGTTGTGTTCGTCAAACATGAATAACTCAAATTACACTAGTTTTTTAAGGGCCCCCATTTTGGTTGTGAAGTTTTCATATCCTTGTGTGGGGGTCAACAACCTTAGGTTTCAGTATGACAGGAACGGTCAGGTAACATACACTTTACCTATTGTTACGGAGTAAAGTCGAACTTTATGGGCTAGATAGATGCATACGTTATTTTCCTTGATATTGTCCTTTTTTTTCATTTTCATTCTCCTGTTTTGATTTTTGTGGTGAGGTTGTAGTGTAATTAATTATTGCATAATGAAATATGGAGTTTTCATTCATTCATTTGGCATATAATGGAATTTATGCTTCTTGTGTCGAGTTTATGAGGAGTGAGTGTTAAATACATGAAACCAGGTAAGTGTTCTTTAATGCTTTTTGTTATGCTATTTCCTGCCATTGGGGGACTATTATACATGTTTTCTTTTGAGAAAAATGATATTTACCTTGTAATCTTTTTTCAGTCTTACTGTTTTTTTCTCTTAGGTTCCCAGGAAAGATGGAATACCATCTGATTCGACATCTACCATATCTTCTTCTGGAGATACTTCTTCTAGTGTCAAAGGTGAGATTGATCAAGCGCCAGTTGCAGAGCAAGGTGTTTACTATCCACCTACTAGCTGTTACAATTATTGCTACCCAGGTTAGATATTGGATTGGTTCTGTCACTAAAAATGATCACCATCAATATTGTGAACGTTTATTTCAATACAGTACATGAATACAGTTGTAAGTTTGCGTAAATGACCAAGCGTGTTTAAATTTGAGGAAAAATCAGTATGACTTGATACAGTTGTCCCAAGTAGTCCATGAGCGACATATAATATTAGAATTGGGTGCAGTGGTGTTGAGCTTAGAAGGAGTGAAATTGAATGTTGTATTAACAAACAGAAAACCTTTTTGTCTGCTCTGATACTGTAGCATGTTATTGGCGTAAATTCTGAGACCAGCCTTGTCTAATGCAAACTTGCACTTCTATTTGTTACTATTACAGTTTCTTAATTAGGTTTTGTATGATTGGTTCATATCCAAGTAAGCTATGTTAACTTGTACATTCTTGCACTGCTGGAAATTTCCCTCTAATTTTGAGTATGGTAACAAGTATCCATGTGTTCTGCCTGGAATATAGTTGTTCCCCTAAACCCAGCCTATTGGGCAGGCTGCGTTCCTGATCCCCACTAGACTTGAATCCATGCCATCTAGACTGGGGATGATTTATATAGACTGTTAGCATTTCCAGGCCAGGGTAAGTGACACTTTATATATTGTTTTCCTACCTGCAAATCAGCTCTGATAGTCTGCTTTATAATGTAGTAGCAGGTGGCTGTGGTAGTGATGCTAGTAATGCTAATAGTGTTTTTTTTTTCCTGTTGTGTAATGAGTTAACTCTAAAGTGATTATTACTATTACAGACTCGCTAATGATTCAGTTTGCAGTTGGATTGTACAGAGTTGGTGAAGCATATTTAACTTACTTTTTAATATTTTGCAGGATATAATGGGACTTTTGCTCAGTTCGATGATTATTTTAATGCAGTGTGTGGTTTGTATACTGTATGTTCTGTACCTTGTTTTCTGTTAATATGCTTCTCTAAGTTCACATGCTGGACTTTTGGATGTTTATGTTCTGTAAAATGATACCCTCCCTACATTCTGTAACGTAGTTATGCACATTGTTAATCAGTTGATGTTTGGTGGTTCATTCTCTCTCTTTTTTTGTGATTCCTTTAGGGCACCCAATCAGATAAGGGCTCGCCGCTCTACTATATGCCTGGATTTACTCCCTATGCTCCTGGCACTTTTGTTGGCGTTGATGGACAACAGCCTTATGTGTCTACCTCGGGATATCTTCAGCATCATGTCTCTTATGGTTCAGAAGCCTTACCATGTTACTCATGGGATTCGACATATGTTGGAGATGTTACTAGTGGGACTGCTGCTAAATATGGGAATGTGAAATCTACTCTGGTCTCTAATGTGGCTACAAAGTCAAAAGGTTACAATTCATCAAATAGGTATAATGCGCATACTAGCAAAACTTCAACTTTGCCTTTGCATTCAAGGTCGCAACAGTCCACTGGCTTATCTAATTTTTCGAGGCCTATTCTTCACACTCAACCTCAAAAATCTTTTCACAAGGTATGTTTGTGTTTTGTGCAATGATTAGAAGATCGCATCAATTTTATGGTTTGTTTCATATTGAAGATCAGTGGTGTTGCAACAAAGTCGTGTGGAAGAGGTCTGTTAACTGCGATTTGTTAAGAGTAGTTAACAGCATACCCGAAACCTACCTCTCACTTTGTCCTTTTCCAGTCATTTTGCTCTTAAATGATAGAAGTTCAGCTTATTTCTCTAATTTGGCTTGTGATTATGGATGAAATCTTTTGACTTAAGGTCTCTTTATACATTGATTTTTCTGTGATGTTCTTTATCAAGATGGATGATTTTTAAAAGCATGCTGTTTGGTTTTATGTTGACTTATTAATCTTCGTCTCTTTGCTATATTACTTGGCACGTGGCAAACTTTGAGCAGTTAAATCTTTTCCGTTTGGCCTGTTTAAACTAGCATACGGCTTGGTAATGCTATACCTTGCAGGGTGGCAACCAAGGGTGGAGTGGCTGGAGCCACATGGGTCTTTGTGAGGGCAATTGCTCCCACTCAATTTTTTTTTGCAATTTTTTTTCATATAAATTCTAAATTTGCTCCCACAAAAAACTTACGTGCATTTAATATCCACTTAATTATTTCTCACATTTGGATTAAGTTTCTTTACTATCAACTAAATGAACTAATTTGTACAATGCTATTGGGATCTAGTTTAGGGACCTAATATGAGGATCTAATGTATTGTCATCATTGAATTAATTGAATGTAGTCTATTTTCTAATGTTCTCTAAATTAGGTCTCCAGGACATGTAATGTTATTGTTGTTAACATTTGCCCCCATCATGACAAATTTCTGGCTTCGCCGCTGGTGGCAACTTACAAATAACCACTCGATGTATAGGTGTTAATTTACCTTGATGTGGTGAGCGTCTTGCTGCTGTTCTCATCAGAAGAATGTCATTGTCAATTGGAATTTTCATCACAATTCTTGGATGCTGATTTAGTTTATTGTCAAATTTGTACATAGAGAAACGGGAATTATAGTCTAACTACAGGATCTTCTCCTCACATTGGAGACAAGATGTCAAACTTTGAAATAGATATAAATATCCTAGGAGGCGCTATTGAATCTTAATTATTCCAATGTTTCCTTTTGTATTTATGGGCATTTTAATGTCCAACATGGGATGAATTAAATGCCATTGATAGGAGCCACATGAAACTATTAACAGGTCTTTGCTTGGCTAGATTCTAACTATTTTATGTCCTATACCCTTTATTGTAAGGATTTGGAGAAGAATTCAATAGACAACCATCTGAAGAAGATTCTACACTATATATTCAGCCAAGGGACCTTTTGATCTCCTCTTGGTTTCTTACATATTCAATGACCAAAAATGCCCTAATTTGTCCTGAAGGGAACTTTTGGTTGCTTCCCCAATCCTTCTCTCTCTGTGTAGCGCATGTGTGCTCTGGCATTGTTAGTGTCATCTAGTAGTGGATAAAGTATAGCTGTGCACCAGTATGATGCATGGGGTAGTAGCATTTTGAAAAAACAAAAGAATATATAATCATTGTGCATCAGGATTGAGTTTTGGAAACTTCCTAACCACCTTCTTCAAAGCACAGACAAAGATTCTTCTTTGCAAACTTCCTAACCACCTTCTTCCTTAGCTTCCCCATGTTATTTAGTCTAAGATGAAATAATCCAAATACATAAAATACATTGGAAATAGTTAATGTTCCCTATAGCCCTCAAATATATGCGTACATTATTTTGTATGTACTTTGTATGTATGCAAATACACACCAATTCAAAACCCAAAATTACCTAAATATTTGAAGCTGAACAAACTCCCATCTCTTGTGACCCAATCATTTTGGCCATACAAAAAAGGGCTAAAGATTTACCAAAAGATCGAATTACATAGGAAAAATGACTGATAAGGACAAATTTATCAATCAATCTGCAATTTATATTTAAATCAGAACCAACAAAATCATCATCCCACAACTATAAACGTGTATCAAATTCATTGGCCTTGAACATATTTTGATTTTACATTCACTATTCCTGCAAACAAAACAAATCAAAACATTTATACAGTTGCAATGGTGAACAACAGGACCATATAACTCACTAAGCAGAACTGTTTGACTGAAAACCTGTCTGATTTATTGTTTGTGTGTTTGCGTGTTGCCTATAATGTGATCAGCACAAGAATAGATTTGCAGGGGAAATCTGCTATTCTTTTTTGTGGAGCCATCTAACAAGCAATTAAACCTGGCTTTCTTGCAGCCATCATTATGTAACAATTTCACTGCCACCACATCTGCAAAATCACAATCTTAACTAGGATCAAAATTACAGGGAATCCTGTGATGGGGCAATTTCAAAAACTGACCCTCGAGTCGCTTTGCATAAATGAAATTAAGCTTCCATCTATATAGAAGCCATCAGAAAAGCCTCCGCTGCCTCAACTCAAATTAAGTCAACAAAATCTTTGTCTCAACTTGTTGGAGTCAGCTACAGCCTACGTGTTTCTCATTTCTTTATTGTGCTCTATGAGGGCCATTTTGTCTGTTAAACCAGATATTATATTCTTTTTTACTAGTTCGTACAACGTTAATTATAATCTATGCTACCTGCCAATAAAAAATATCAAAATCCATACAATGTCTCAAACCCAAATACATTAATCATTCAAACATTCTGGGTATTCTCAATGACAGAATTGAACCGACAGAATAAAGGAAAAACACCTTGAAATCAATCTACCAGTGGGTGTGTATTGTTTGTGCTGTCGAATAGGAAGGAGAAGATGAAGGACATATGTGATGTGCTAACTGAGGGCTGTCTGCTGTGGTGAGGAGTGAGAAGAGGGGGGAATGGGGCAGATTGTGTAGAGGTTATAATGAGAGAGAGAGAGAGAGAGAGAGATCAAAAGAAAGGATAGGAAACTTGAAAGTTCAAAGGTTTGTCATCGTGAATGAGAAGTGGGAAGGTCCAGCCATTTTGGTCCAGTTGAGGTCTTGTGTATCTGGTGTAACAAAGGTTTCAATATAAAGGAAAAGAAATTTTGGCGGGAAGAAGAGGAAGACAAAAACATAAAGAGGAGGGTTGAGTGGTAAAAGCACTCCAAGAGAATAGGAATCAGGTTATTCTTCTTTAAAATGACTCATGTTCTACTTGGCAAAGCAGTACTGCTAGGTTTTTTAGTTTTCATTTTGTGGTTCTTTCAATGCCTCTGCTTGGTATGATAGACATTGCCATTTTTCCCGTGACAAAGCTGTCATATATAGAACAAACAATTTGCTTTTGTACCCAATTTTTTGGATTTCTGTACAACTTTAATAACCTTTTTGTGTGATATTTAATTAATTAACATTTTTGCAATGGCAAACATATCAAGAGGCCGGTCATTTCTTCTTTTTTTTGGGGGGGGGGAAAGAGGCCAGTCATTTCTGAGTGCTTTTAGTGTCTTGATTCTTACCTTTGCTCTTTATTAGGTTTCTAGTTTATCATGCATCAGTTAATGGACTTTATGTTTCATGCTATCTTCATCTGAAATTCAAGTACTAAATGAGAACTGATCGCTGAAATTATGAATACCTTTCAGTCACACATTACTTTTAGTCTGTAAATCTTTTTGTTATTATTATCCTTATCAATTGTTGATGTGACATGTGGGTGCAGTCAGGTTCTGGTTTTCAATCAACAGGCCCTGTGAAGAACTTTTACCCTGTTGGAAAGTTTTCATCGTTTACTAACCCAAACCAAGGCTTACTACCATATAATGGTCCAATGAACTACCCACCAAACAATAGAGCATGGAGTGGCAACAATGAATTTAGGTTTAGAACACACTCCAGCAGAAATGGAGAGTTTGAAGCCTCAACTGAACTAACTCGTGGTCCTAGGGCCCAGAACGGGAGCAATCCTTCAAACTTATTGGACGAGAACGAACAGCTGGGGATCACTATTCGAAGGGATCAATATAACCTAGATGATTTTCAGACTCAGTATGATCATGCAAAATTCTATGTCATCAAGTCATACAGTGAAGATGACATTCATAAGTGCATCAAGTATGATGTTTGGTCAAGTACCCCAAATGGCAATAAAAAATTAGATGCTGCTTTCTATGATGAAGAGGCACGAGCAAGTGAAAAAGGCACAAAAAGCCCAATCTTCCTCTTTTTCTCAGTAAGATTGATTTTTTTCCCTTTTTGGAAGTGGAAAGAAGCAAGAATCATTTTTCTGTTAATGCATGGCACAATTGTTTTGTAGGGCTCCAACGAGTTCAAATTTTCAAGAATTTTTTAACTTTCTTGGTTAACTTCTTTTTGTGCATTTGCTTATGACTCCTCCTTGAATGTCAGGTTAATGGAAGTGGGCAGTTTGTAGGCTTAGCTGAGATGATTGGGCGGGTTGATTTTGAAAAAAACGTGGACTTTTGGCAGCTTGATAAGTGGAATGGTTTCTTCCCAGTGAAGTGGCACATAATTAAGGACATCCCTAACTCTCAGTTGCGACACATTATTCTTGAAAACAATGATAACAGGCCTGTGACATATAGCAGGGATACTCAGGAGGTATTCTTCATGTCCTTTTTAAAGCACTCCATTCAATTTTCAATTTTCAAAAGTCAAAGTCTGAAGGTGTTTGCATGTTATCATCTTTCTGCGGCCTCTCTAAACTAATATGTGCAGAGTTTCTTGAACTCATTTTCCTATGTGTTTGGGTGCATTTGTGGACATTCGTAGAAGCTTTCATCCATTTGCTAAATTCATCAGTTTGTCAAAACTCGAAACTCCTCTCAATCAAAAAGTTGTATTACTTGTCAGAGTTGCTTTTCCTCGAGCAATATGAATCTTAAAATCAAGTGCATGGAAGTTGCATAAGTGCTGTCTTTCTTTCTTTCTTTTTGAAAATCTTTATCTGCTAATTAATATTTGGACTATGTGTTGATTCTAAAGTTTTTGCTTTCGTTTTCAGATTGGTCTCAAGCAAGGTATTGAAATGCTGACCATCTTCAAGGGTTACTCGGTAAAAACATCATTGTTAGATGACCTAAACTTCTATGAGAACCGAGAGAAGTCACTTAAAGCCAGACGAAGCAGTAAGCTGGCTACTCAAACTGAACCTTACAAGAATAATAATATCACTGTGAGTTCACCTCTCTCTCTGCTGTTAAGCATGGTGCGTATGACACTACTTAGAAATCAATGGTCAATTATGCTGATTGCTGTTTGAAGATAACACGATACTCGTGTTTGGTGTAACACAATACCTCTTTACTTTATGGCTAGTCTCGAATTGTGTTTCTTCTCTGGCATCCTTAGCCGTATTTATTCTGCATTATTGAGCATTATATTAAAAGTCCTGAGATTCTTTAGTCTGTTTAGACAAACAATTAAGGCTTTTTTGCTGGCTGGACCTCTTCCTAGCATTTCTTTTGGCGAGGAAGAGTTGATGTCATCTACTTGGACAATTCCAAAAGGCATTGCCTTTTATGTATAAGTCTAGTTTAACTTCTGTCCTGTTAAATATTGCTGATGACTCTTATTTCTATCTCTTCCACAGAAGCATTTTAAAGCCGGAGAAAGGTTAATTGAAGAATCAGTAAAGACCAATACTTCTGATCCAGCATCATCACTCGTCAGTCTCACAAAGAACCTATCTCTCGCCCATTGAAGAGCATTGTTGTGAGAAACCTGGGCGAAAACTCAGTGCCTCCCATCTTTGCTTCAGAGGCATTCTCGGAAAGTAGGAAAATACCTTAAAATGAGATTTTCCCTTTGTTTTCTCCATCACAATTACTTTGTATTAGTTTACCTTCCGAAAAAAAAAATACTTTGTATTTTGCTTTATTTAGTTGGGTTTCAGTTTGTTAGCAGTTGTTTGATTCCTTTTGCCCTTTTTGAAAAGAAAAAAAATGAGAATGAATTATACCTTGTTCTATTTGCCTCGTTTGGAGAGTCGGTTAAAGTTCACTTGTGCTTGTTTGTCATGTTATGTTCGTCTTTGGTTCAAATAAAAGTGCTTTTCTCTTGTGATTGTATTGGTAGATTAGGATTTTTGTGTATCATTTTTTTTTTTGTTCAACAGTCAAAAGTGTTTGAGTTAGTTCACCATTTTGATAGATTGCACATGGCTACACATGCCTTGAATCCTTTTTGAATTTCACCATATGCTTTTGTTGAACAAATACTACCATATCCTTTTGTCCTGTCTATATCCATTTGTTTCTAAACAAAAGATCAAATGAAAAATTAGAGGAAACTCTACTTACAAGTGCTGCAAAAAAGTAAGTGCAATTTTCAATAACAGTTACACCTCTCAAAAAGATATGCTATAGATCAAATTGAGCATTTTTACTTTATTACACTTGTATTACTCATCCTCTGGGACATCATCGGGCCACAACAAATGATGAAACAGCCAGTTCACTCGCAATTGAACCCTTCCCTCGGGATTGTCACACGCCATCTTGCCAATAAACCACCAGGTATCGAAACCCCATGTATATAAATCCAAAACCAAACTCCGATGCCTGCTTTGCTCTCTGAGTTTTATCCACCACTGAATGAACTTACCTGGGATGTAGTAGGATAAGCACCAAGGGGGAACCTATTTCATAAATGTCGAAATGGCTTCATGGATGGAACTGCGGCGGATTAAACGCTGACGACGCACCATTGAATGTGGCCCATTCCAGACTGATTTGGGATTCTCTGTAAAGAGTGTTCCACACAACCTTGAAAGCAGTGGATGTTCAAATCGACGAAGGTTCTCATATATTTTAGCTTTTTGAATCTTCTCTCGTGACACCTATAAGAAAAGCAAACATGAGCTTAAACACCTTATGCAGTTTCTAAAACAGACAAACACGCTATTCGTCAGTGGTAGAATATTTTTGGTCCTAAAAATGCAGAGACTCACAAAACAGGAATATTGAAAAGATACTACTGGTCGATTTGGATTCCTCCCAAGTTTGTCTGCTAAGATTTAGAACATATTGTATCTTATCTAATTTAAAATCTCCACAATGTATGTACTTCACTTCTTTAGGAACTAATATAAATGTGCAACTTCTAAGTGTTCATACATGTACCCTTGCTAGATGTGTGACGTAAGTAAGAAGCTCAAATGTAACCGTCCTAGGCCAAAAGTAAGTGCATTGAAAGAAAGAAAGCCCATGAAACATCCAACTCGACTACATGCTGACCATATATGATACCATTTGCATACCAGACCAACTCCATTGGCATCCCCCATACTTCTCTAAGGGCTCCTGAACTTCACTTTGGACAACATACACAGTCAGGCACATTCATTTAAATGATACTTAACGGCTTATTATCCTTCTTGTACTAAATTCATATAACATGCTACTGCTCATAAACAGCAATGGCCTTTATAGAAGATTTTGTTTTAATAGAGGGTATTTCGGTATTTAGAACTCTAAACTCAAATGGCAAATACCCAGCCGCCTTTTTTTGTTTTGTAAGGGGGGGTAAATAAATCATAATCACTACACCCATAAATGAAATCACCAACCGAGCTCATCAAATGCCAAAGATATTGCATATTCTAGACTGTAATTTGTAATCTCCGTAGTATTTTGAAGATTCCACCCACCCAACCACCACCTAGAGACAAAGGCACACACCCACTGAGAGAGTTTTGGGAGAAAAGTAGGGGAGGGGGGGAGAGATCCTTTAGGCAGATGTTCAGATGATGCAAATCACAGTAAATTCAGTCTCAGTGATAAAAGGTGCTTGCTTGTTTATTTACTGGCTTCAACTGTTAAAGACTTGGTAATTAAGCAAAGTAATATGATACCACAAAAATGTGAATTTTGACTCCATTGAAGATTGCAGTTACCCAGGTGCATTCTTAAACTACACCTGTTGTCCACCACACCAACAAGCATCAGCAAGTGATGCAACTCAAAATGGATCTAACAAAAATAAACCAACCAGCTTGGCTTGCTTTGCTTTAATCATTACCGATTTAAGTCTTAAAAGCTCATGATAAAAGTAGCAGTTGACTAATTTATGGGTTTAGAGTCGTGTCAAACTACTCAACTTGAGAACCCAATCTATAAGACAAATTCACAAGAGTTAGGGTGGTTCCTATGTGCACCAAAAAAGTGTTACCACTTATCTCTGTAGAAGTGAGAAAGCAGGACCACCCCTGCATTGAGTAGGGGGAGAAAACCATCAATTCTTCTCCCTCCCCTCTAAAGGAGATAGCTCCATCATTTCTTGTAAGTAGATATTCCACAGCCCAATCCATTGGAAACCTTCTAGTGCTTGGACGTGTCCACAGCATCTTTAACAATGGAATTGCTGGCAGCATAAACTGACTGGTTATTGAAGCCAAGGTTTAGACTTTGATCAAGTAGCAAATGCTTGCCTATTCTACTAATTGATTTTCCTTTATTTCTACTTCCAATTTATTATAATAGCTCCTTAAATATCTCACATCGTTGCATCTCACCACCCTCCCCAAGCATCTAAAATGTGAGCACAAACCACCAGTACATGTCCAGAACTTCCAACGTTCAATATAAGCCCTTGTATGATCATCCTAATGAGCAACTAAAGTATAGTGTTTCCTATCAAAAATAGAAGTGCTTTGTGTTAATCACATGGTAGTAAAAGCTTGATCAGCTCTTAAAGATATCATGATTTCTTCTTTAGGCAGGTTTAAGGCCACATTTTCTTATCTTTCTCTCTGTTTTAGTGTATTTTATTCACTATTTTGGGTCGTGTAACATCAGAAGAAATCCATGGAACCTCTAGATCAAATGGTTGATGCAAAAAACTTCGCTGAAATAAGTAAATTACCTTGGCCCTTTTTCGTTCCATTGCTGCAGATTCATCCTCATGATGCAGCGATATTTCTTCTTTCCGAGTGTCATTCCGAATATGACCAATTAATTCGACCCTTTGGGTCTGATATAGCATATTATGCTCTTCTTTTGATCTATCATCTAACTGTGAATATTCAGAAATTTCACTTCCCCCTTTGGTTTGGAATGTGATCCGATTTTCTTTGTCCTCCTCCTGCTTCTCCTGTAAAGGGATATCAGTATCTTCGGACCTCACCTCTTCTCCTTTTTCTTCCAAATCGGCATCTGTGTCCCGGTCAGCGGAATTCTCCATATTTGACGAAATATCGGCACCAGAAGGACTTTCTACCGGTGACGTTCCCTTTAAAAAAGGTGAAATAAATATCATTATTGAAGAACATTATTATAAACATCAGCTTGCCCACGTTGTGCAAAATCAAATAACCCTAACTAAATGAACAAGTAGTGTATATATACTTATTCATGATGTACACTATGTCCTTTTATTCATTAAAAAAACATTTGTTTCTCATAGAAGATGCAAAAATTTTATTGTTGACTAGAAAGAAAAGAAGATACTTCCCAGAATCTTCATGACTTCCTTTCAGTTTGAATTTAGAAACTTTACGATCTGAAAAATCAACAAACTTAACAAGAAAGGTTGAAAATAACCAAAGATTTAAATGTACCTCTCGCTTGACCTCATGACCAGGATGATCTTCACTAGTCTCGAGCTGGTCTTCAACAATTTGAGCATCCTCACGCTCCTGCCTGCGACGCATCATCACGCATATAGCACATAGGCAGTCATCCTTATGCCGTTTAACTCTGGGAAAAAATGACAACTTGAGATTTAGGAAGAGAATGAAACTGTTGGGACTGAAACACCACTCTAGTAAGCTTCCAAACATTCAACGCCTTCAGGGAACATGAAGAAGGAAAATGTTTCAAAATAACCATAAAGAAAAAGAGAAATGATGCATTTGCAAAATCTAAAATTTTTTATTTCCTGTTCTTCCACAAACTTTGATGAGTAAAATCTATTTTGAATTTAACCAGTCATTGAATGACATGAACTCAGCTCAAAAAGCACATGAAAAGAAATAATTTAATAATTCTATTTTGTTTAGACCTCTACCAAATAAAAACTGATGAAACCGTAACCTTGTAGAATTTTGTCAGCACTACTGAGAAAAAAGACAAACCAACACATCAGCATTTTGTCAAGGAAGAAACCATATGGTGAATGAGGACATACTAATTCATGGCTATTAATCTATTTATGATTCAGTCATAGAATCATTTAGAGTGAGTAATCCTAAAATTACTGGCTTTCTCATAAGGATTAAGGAATGATGGAACAGCCCATAGGTGACACATGAAAGACAAAATACTCCACAACACTATTAAAGCAGGTGTTAGAAAAAAGGCAAAAACAGAGCGAGTCCAATTCCGTTGACACACGCATGAAAAGGGAGGGAAAAAGTAAAGAAGAAAAGATATTCTGAGATGATTGCTCTTTTTCCCTATTCAACTCAGAAGTTTAGAATATGACAACTTGAGCTGAAGTCGCAGATGATATCATTTACGATTTACACCTTTAGTTGCAGAAACATACTTCAAAAAGGAACCCTTTTCCCAATTCACACCTTTAGATTAGTAAATCAACATGTTGAGTTGAAGATGGAGATACTTACACAAACATCATAAACAATGATTTACTGCCTAGATTTTTTTTTATTTTTACAACAAAGGATATCTTTCAAATAACCAGGCAAAATTTCATGAACAGCATTTGAAGACTCGTGGATGGACAAGTTGACTGTCAAACTGGGTGGAATTAAAGGCCTCATTCATGGACGCCAACTGGAACATTCTACCGACTACAGGAGGATTGAACATTTCATGACCAAGAAAAAACTGCCAAAGGAATTATAGCACAATCACTCTGAAGTTCTACAGTGAGCAGGGAAGTAAAAAGTTAGCTCTCAAACAAATTGGATATTAAATTCATATGCTTATACAAGGAATGAATACAATATATATTGGCACCCATATGATTGTGGGGATAATCATGCTTTCAAGTTGACTTGAGCAAGGCCGGCCCTATAGGTAGGCAGTTGAAACACCTCCTCCAGCCCCAGATTTTTTAGGGACCCAAGTAAATTTTTTGGATCCAAGTTCAATTAGTCTAATTTTTTTTAGGTCCTAAAATAATATTTTAAAACAGTGATTGATCAATCTCGATATTGTCTTAGGTTCCACCAAATAAAATTTCTAAACTCATGTTCAATTAAGATCAATTTTGTTCTTGAGGCCCCAAATAATATTTTAGACCCATGTTCAATTAAGTCAAAATTTATTTTCAGGGCCCCGGCCCTATAGGTAGGCAGGTAGGCAGGTAGGCAGTTGAAACACCTCCTCCAGCCCCAGATTTTTTAGGGACCCAAGTAAATTTTTTGGATCCAAGTTCAATTAGTCTAATTTTTTTTAGGTCCTAAAATAATATTTTAAAACAGTGATTGATCAATCTCGATATTGTCTTAGGTTCCCCCAAATAAAATTTCTAAACTCATGTTCAATTAAGATCAATTTTGTTCTTGAGGCCCCAAATAATATTTTAGACCCATGTTCAATTAAGTCAAAATTTATTTTCAGGGCCCCTAATAAAATTTAAAGATCCAGATTGAATTAATTCCAATTCTGCTCTTAAGGCCCCTAATAAAACTTATGTACTTCTATTCAATCAAATCCAATTTTGTTTCTAGGGCCCTTAAAAATTTTATAGACAAATTTTTAGACCCAAAAATCAATAAAGTTAAAATTTACTTTTATGCCCCCTCAACTAATGTGAGGCCCATTCCTTTTGCAAAAATATTATTTATGATTTCGAACCTACAATATAAAACAAAACTATATAACTTTTTCTTCCATGTATTGTTTCCAATCACTTTGTTCAACCTGAAAATTATTTATATGTTCATTTTGCTATAATTTAATCATCTTTTAACAAAATTAATATTGATTAAATTTGAATCGAGTTTGTTGAGATTTTTTTTTTTTGTTATTAATGACAACATAAAGCATCACTTCAGTGTCTGATATTGGGTAGAAGTTTATTTTTATGAATTTTTTTGTTGTTAAGCATTATGCTATCTCTTATAACTATATCATTTGGCAGATCTTGAATGAATTAGTAATATGATCGATCGAGATGATATATTACAAAAACTTGAATATCAAAAATTAATTCAGGCTTTTTCATATCAAATAGTGAAAAATAAATATTTTTAAAGAAATATATTATAAAATCTAAATAATTACATAATATTATCAACTATTATAATCATGAAAATTTATAGGGCCTCAGTTTACATTAGGCCACCCCTGGACTTGAGAATCATCTCATACTAAGTTAATTGTCTTGGCCGTGGATGTAGTTCTGTATCAAAGTGAGTGAACATTAGGTTATTCTTTCGTCCACATGAAGTTCTCAAAAATTGAAAAATTAGAAGAAAACATTTTCTATAATCATATTCATTCTTATTCAACATCTTAAGCTTCCATACTTTGTCATTGAGAGTTTAATCCATCTTCCCATCACATTGAAACTTATCTGGGCATGTAGGCTTTAAAAGTTTTGGTTTGTATATTCATAATGATACCATGAGTGCTTTAGGGTGTCCTCAAGATATGTTTTCAGATACCGCTATACAATTACAACTTGTTTTTGCTCGATGGATACAAAACACTCATACTTTAGCACCTAGTGGAAACTTATAATGTTCTTCCGTCAAACCCTGATCAATGAACCTACAAAATCTTTCAAATTGTATCTAATTAAATCCAAGTATTGTAGACATTCCCTCATATCCATCCCAGAGCATTTTTAATTTTCTATTTATCGAAAAAATCCATTATTGGCTCATTCTTCATCAAATCATAAATGGCAGGCATTAGCTATCTGCTCTCAAGCTGGGCAATAAGGGTCGAAGAAGAACAATCACTCATTCTTAAAACTAGCGTTCTTAAGACCAAAGAGTCGGGAGGAATAGGCAAATCTAAAGAAGGTTTTCGTGAACGTTCATTACAAAATATTTCGAGATCCCAATGCCAAATAGCCAAGAAGCACATGCTAGAAAACACAATATGTGCCCCTACCATACCTTGTAACTCCAAATAACCGGATTCATTACAATCCCTCCTGTGCTACTCCAACCGCCCCATGAATTGGTTATTCCTAAACGAGTCATGAAGAGTATAACGAACATACCCTATCTCCACCGATACAGATTTGTAACTTGCTATCTTCTTGCCTAGCAGGTAAAGATTTACCTCTGTGGAAAGAATAATTCATTCGGATCGACAGGAGAGTCCAACTACATTGCATGTCTCTCTCACAATGTATATTATATGTTTAGCGTTCTATCATCATCCCCCCTCCTCATCTCTTCTTCGCTATTACATTTCCTTTCATATTTATGAGTACTCAACACCATTATTTTTTGGGTGGTTTTAAGGATGTGGAGTGGGGACTTGAGATAACAACACCCTATAGCCCCATATATTCATAGAATGCTTCATTTGTTGATCACAATCAGAAATCTAATTCAGTCCTATCATCTGAAAATAAAAAATGAACCACAACATGCTTCAAAGTTCAATATATTTGGAAAAAAATTGTACTTCGATAAATAAATAAAGCAATTATATCGCACAAACTTGTGCTACCTATATTTATGAAGAGACAAGCTATATAGAGATGTAGATGCAATTAGGGAAATGCTATCTTGCTACCCATCTAAAATGATTATACAAGGTAACTAACTATTTTACACAAAAAGACAACTAGTTTCTATGATGTTGTTCCCATCTAATTCTATCATTTGTTCAACAGTTTACAGTAAAAACAATAGTAGTTTTATAGTTATTGATGAACTGTATGGCAAAACTCCAGCAAAGAAAGCTATGTAAAACAGATGTGCAAAACATACCCAGGACGCTTTCGTGCCTTATGTTGTGGGTGACCAACTTTGACAGGTTTCTTTCCATGACTGGAAGGTGCAACATCCTTTGCTTGAATGCTTTCAACACCTACAAAGAGAATGTGGCTGTCAAAAAACTGATTCAGGATGGTGTTTTAAACAGAAAACAAGAGCACGTGGTCAGAGCATCTCCAATGGCAATAGGCTCTTTATTTTCACTCAACTCTCTATTTTAGAAAGCCAGTTACCAAAAGTGAAGCTCCAATAGACTCTTTATTTAGATTAACTAAAATAGAGTCTTATTTGGCTCTTTATATTTTGGAGAGCCTAACTCACTCTCTATTTTATTTTTAATGCATGAAAAGATGACACATATGCATTATTCATAAAAGGATATTGCCTAGAGGACTATTTTTCTATTAGAATAGAAAGTCCATTGGAGTTGTCAAAATATTTGACTCTTTATTACAAAATTTTATCAAAGATGTTCTCTATCTCAAAAAAAAAATGCTCTCTAAAATAGAAAGTACAATTGGGGATGCTCTTACCACAAAAGGCAATATAACAATCATAAAAATAGCACATTCTTGCATTGTACCAACTAGGCAAACAACTAACGTTATATCTTATTACAAGAATAGGAAACTCTAGAATGTAGAGAACAACCAAGGAGGGGGAAAAGGTAGACAAACATGACTTCCTAATATGCTACTTTAATATCAGGCATATTGGATCATCCATTTGGTGATAAACACATTGGCCATAATAATAAATGCGATGAATTGCAAGAAAAGAAGAACCCTTGAAGACAGAAGATGTTGCAATCACAAATTTCATACCAAAGGCCATTACGATAACGAACTGCGGCACACTGAGATAGTTCATCCCTTCTATAAATCAAATAGATGAGAAGTCATAGGAAGGTGCACATAAGTAAATACAGGTCCAGAAAGCAAGAAATTTGAAAACATGAAGCCAATAAAACAACCGGCAGGGAATTAATTTATGGCAGCACCAAAAAAATTAAGAAAATTCAGAGAAAAAAAGGAAAATGTAAGGGAATTAATTTATGGTGGCAATTTTCCCGCTCACTGAGCAAAATACAGATCTATTCTGTTGACCAGCAGTTTCTCTCAACCATAAATAAGAATCAAAATTATCAAATGAAAGATGCTGCGTCAAGGTATTTAACCAATTGCAGCAGACAAAGAAAACAACACGCTAGTTGAGGAAGACCATAGATGTGACCCTCACCGTTAGTACTCTGTGGCTGTTCACTTTTTAACCCGGCAGCTGTCCAGTACTTTATGAAGTTTTTCTTTACCCGCTTCAAAAGCTCCAGAATATAATCCCCTTTATTATTGTACTTGGAGCAATTATCCCATATATATTGCACATCTTTAAACACATCTGCTGAATTCGTGTATTTACCCCCATTTTCAAGATTGCTGCATATTGTACCAAAATCCATAGGTGTGTCGATGACATCAAAATAATCCTGCTTCCAGGTCCACAAAAACAATTGATTAATACGTATCCATATTTCGACAAGTATGATAAAGAATATTACTGCTGTATGTTTGAAATTTAGGTGATAAAACATTCTGGAATTACTAAACCATTTTGAAACCTAACCAATAATTGCAATACCAAAGCACTTCAGTTTCATGATTCGGGCAGCAGGGTGGAATAGCATGAGGCAACAGCATTGAAACATACAACCAATTGATTATGTTCACCTAAATTAAAGGCAACTTGATAATAAATGACAAAATAGAATTAACCGAAGTATGAACGAGAAATCTAGTAACATAAACAATAGACAAACAGCTGGGCCCTATTAGGTAAAGGGATCCAACTCCTTCCAAGAACAGATGCCCCTAACTCCCAACAAGATAAACAATCAGCAACTACACATGAATGTCCAAGAACATTGTATACCACCCCCCCCCCCCCAAAAAAAAAAAAAAAACCAAAAAACCCACACACAAAACCTTTCCTTTCCCTGTCATCTAAGGGTCCATGCAGAAGAAATGAAGAAACCTTCTCTCCTCTCAAACCCATAGGCAAAGAACAAGGGCCCCCAATCTACTGTGTGTCAAGGGCCCTAAAGATGTTCTAGCCCTAATATAATACAGCTATGAAGAATGTATATAGCAATTCATACTTACAGGTATTCCCAATGCAATGGTATTGACCGGGGCATTGAAGGGCTCAGCTGCATCCATTTTCATAACCTTTTTAATCACCTACAAAGGGACAAAAAGAAACAACTAGAATTACACATGCCCTAAGAATTTCTCCAACAACCATCAGCTGTGGAAGTACTAAATCATTATTCAGAAATCATAAAAAGGAAGCATGATGCATTTCCAAAAATACCTCTAGGGAAGCACTTAGTTCTTGCTTACTACTATATTGAGGATGCCAATGAAGTAACTCAGATTCTTTCTGGAGTGTCCGCTCACCCTGCACCAGTCCGACATTACTGCACAGGCTCATACTTGAGGAACTAAAGCCCCTAGACTTAATTTTTATGCTTCCAGCTTTCTTAGACAAGTTCCCTGGAGCATCCATATTAATTTCAGGCAATGAGTTGGCACTATCTTCCATCTTTTCAATAAGTACTTGTTTTTCTAAACCCGCTTGCTGGCTGCTCTTATCAGTATCGCTTTGTGTAGGTGCATCTGAAGAAGTAAGCTGAGAGTCTAATGTTTTTGAAGTCTTGATCTTCACTTTAACACGACTATAAACGGAATTCACAGCTGCCTTATCAATTAGACCACCAGAATTAATTCTTACAAGTTTTTGTGGCTGATCAGTTCCTAGAGAAGATGGTGTCTCAGCCTCTGCACCAGAGTCACATTCCACATTGTCAAAGGCATCCACACCAGAATTATCTTCTGTATCCAGATAAACAACATCTGGAACTCCCTCACTGGTACCCACTGATAGCTTTTTTGTCTTGCCTTTCTTATTCCCACGCTTGCGCTTCATGTCTTCACAAGTAAATTATAATGATATAAATTTTCTTCTGTCAATCAAGCTTTCTAAAGCGACAGACTAAAGCTGGCTAGGTCCTGACACTTGGCCTCCTGGCCTCCGCATCAAGCGAAAATAAAATTCAGCCTATGGCACACCCTATACAACGTAATGTTACAACTTAAAAGGAGCAAGGATATCAACAAATAAGTGGTGCTTCTAGAGATCCAAATCTACAAAAAGTGTTTCTACTAGCAGACCATTATGCATCTGCCACCCAACGTTGAAATAGTTGAACCCATTTACAGTGTTCTTTTCTGGATTTGCCAAACACAGTTCCAATTTTATTATGGTTTAGCCCGTTAAGAACCCTGTTCATCAAATTCATTTATCACAGAAACCAAAAAAAAAAGGCTTTGCTTTTCCAAGTGGAGATTCATGGAAGGTACCCGAACCATTTACTTTAGATTTCTACTTTTCAACTAAAACCACAATGATGATACAGAAATTCGCATGTTCCAACATGGGAATAAACATTATTTTCTTGTTCAACGGAAAAAGTAAAATTATAATTTTGTTTTTTCTTTGAACAAATTAATATGCTAAATAATTTGTTAATTACAAAAAGTGTAGCAATGCACCATGCTCCCACCAATGTAAAGTTTTCAAGAACACAATATCAGGATACCCACATGACAAAAAACCCTAGAATCCACAAACCAAATGCTAGCAAATAACTACATAAACAAAATATATACATAGATTGTATTAGGAACCAAGTCAAATAACAAATAGATGAGATAAATGAAATTTTCATTAAAGACAAGAATCTAAATACTGAGTATTCAAATGAGTCATCATTCAAGCTAAGAACTAGAACACCATATGTCATCATATCCATAAAAAAAAATCAGAGAATAACAAGGGCTAAAAGAGAATACCTAAATTATTGAAACAACCTAGCCGTTGAAATACAACGTTACCTCTTTGTTCGAAAGCGTTCTCAGTGACCTTTTACGCGTTTTGTTTCAGAAGCCAGAGTGAGAATGAGCACGCGAATCGTATAGGAGCGAGCAAGAACGAGAGAGAGAGAGACAGACAGAGAGAGACCAGACGGGAACCTAAATATATACAACCGACCTTAATGTTTCCTTTATTACACAACGACCCTTATAGTTTAAGAAGTTACAAAAAAACCCTCAAATCTTCAAATCATTCTACTGTGAACCCTAATACTTACCTCCCAGTTGGTGCTTGAAAACCCAATTCTACCTTAAGATTGAAAATATTTCACACCTTTTTATTTAAATGTGTTCGATAATTCAGAATTACATCACTTAAAAATTTAAACACATCTTTAAAATAAGCTAGGATTTTAGATATCTAAGAACTTATTTATCACTTAATTTATAATATAAAACATTACAAATTTTAATAAATTCATCTCACGGTCTTAAATAAGTTCATCTAACGGCCACCAACATTTCTCTCGAAATTATTCACATTATACTGCGTATTTAGACACAAATTATTCCTAATATTGAATATATAATAAATACCAATTTCTTAAACTTTTCATGATGGACCAATATGCCCTTAAAATTTTTTTCTCAATTCCAACTTTCCACCCCCATTATTATCACCACCACTACTACAATTATGGTCACGCTCATCTGCCCATGCCACCACGCTCATCTGCCCATGCCATCACCGTAAACACCTTCCCACTATCGTCATGCTACATGGGATAGGCATGAACAAACCTGTTAGAAATTTAATTTTTTTGATGGGATAACTTAGAATTAAGAAAAGTTGCAACAGTCAACTTGATTCTTATCTTGATGCTCGCATATTAAACCTTCAAAATTCTAATGATAAGACTCAAGGTTAGCTACGACTAGGAGTGTTAAACGTGTCAGGTTAAACGGTTATGTATCAAGTTAAAAGGGCGATAGGTGAAAAATATGTAAATTCATACACGACTCGTTTTATAAATAGGTAAAAAACCTCAACACAAACACGAACTGTTTAATAAACGGATAATATAACACTAGTGTTTTAAAACCCGGCTCGACCCGACGAGATTGACCCGGTGTCTAAACCAGACCAGTTCACCTATTGGATCGTTTTATGCATAAGAATTGGAGTCAACCTGATAAACCGACAAAAATCCAAGGAAAACCGTCAAACTGGACGAGTTCCATTAAACAGGGTGGGTCATTTAATTTAGTATAAAAGGTTTATTTTTGGCCCTTTTGAGCATTTTGCCCTAAATTGTGTTATCCAGCCCCCTTGGTGGACGTTGTTCGTTCCTATCAACATGAGTCTCTCTCTCTCTCGCTCTCTCTCTCTTGCTCTGCTCTAGTTTATACAGTAGTGTGCAATGAGTGCTCGAAAGGGAGTAAGCCTCGATCAAAAACTTGAAGGAGAATGAACAGTTATATATTGTCATACTCTTTATCTCTCTCTCTCTCTCTCTCTCTCTCTCTCTCTCTCTCTCTCTCTCTCACAGTTTGATTTGTATTTTGGTCTTTGGCTCTGCCTTTCCTTGCCTCACAAACGGCTAACGGTCTCAGATCGAAGGTCTATTCGATGACTCTCGCTTTGTGTGCTGTGGAAGTGGAACTGGTGAAGACTTGAAAGTTGGACATGGACTCGATTGGACCTCTATCGGCTTCAGTACTCATTCTCTGCACATTATCTTCCCTCAAGCGAGATTCCAGGCACTAGTATGTACGTTCTCTCTGCACATTACAATTGGTATATTATACACACTAATATTGTATTGTATGGTTACGAGTTGATTGATTATGGCTTTGTTGATTAAATAATACTAGATTGTTTTATTTAGGTTTGATTTGGTGAAAATTTTAGTTAAATTTGATTTGATATACATTTTATTACGATGGTTAGATTCAATTTGATAATTTTTGGGATTTTTATTTGATTTAATATGCATTAAGGATACTATTTTTATTGATTGTTTAACTTATTTATTATTATTATTTTTTATATTATAGATCTGACCAATGACCCAACAGTTAAACCAGTAACTCGTTGACCCGGTCCCTCTGCCAAACTGATGTTCGGGCAGGGTTTTAAAACTATGCACGACACGATTCATTTAACCTGTTTAATTATAATTTATTATTATATTTTTTGTGACTATCACTAAATTAAAAAAAAAATCTATGGCTATCACTAAAAATAATATATATATATATATATTAATTATGTGGTTGTCATTAAAAAAAATTCTGCCTAATTTTTTAAAATAATTATTAATTTATTATTATATTAATTTTATTTTAACGGATAAACGGGTTGATATGACTTATCCGAACACGACTCGTTTATTAAACGTGTTTAATGGGTCAACTTGTTTATCACTTGAATCTATTAATGTCTCATTCAAATCCGTTTAATTCGTGTCAATTAATCATATGGTGTCGGACTTTCACAAGTTTAGCTACGACTACCTCCACCCCTTCACCACTACACTGCAAAACAAACACCACCATCAGTCCCCATTGTGATGTCTTTTCATCCCCACCCAACTCTATTTACTTTCTTCATCATCCCCAACCCCCCCCCGGGGAGCCCCACCTCATCACTGTTACCACCATGTTTCTGCCAGATTTAAGTCTTAAAAAATATTTAGAAAATTTCCACTTTTATCAAACTGTACCTTACTTTTTTTTTCCCCTCTTGAAGTTGGACCCAGTAGTTAGTAGACCATTAGTGAACTAAAGAAACTTGACGAACTTTTCACCAATCCAGTGTATTGGGCCAACTTATTTTTCACAAGAATACACTTTCAAATTTATTTCTCAATTTCAATCATCTTTAAAAAAATGTCATTACAAATGATGTCCTTAACACAAAAACAACATTCCAAATGGCATGTTTAAACAACAAAAAAATGGGTAAAAATGTCACTCCAAATGTATGCGTACAAGGATCAAAATGTTGATTGAAAAGGCCAAAACATTTTCGATTCAAAGAGAGTCAAAATAAACTAGTGATTAAACCAAAATTTTAATGTTTCAAGATGTTTCGAAATATTTCAGCATATATATTTTCACCAATATTTCATAGTAATTATAAATATTTCAAAATGTTTCAATCAAGATTTCATAATATTTTAAAAATAAATTTTTACATTTTTTTATCTATTTCTATTTAGTTTTCTATATATTTTTGAAATATTTTTGTTTCTTAGGTCATCAAAATAATACACCAAAATAAAATTTTGATGAGAAAGACTACGATACCAATACTGATATTTTACCAAAATTTAAAATTTTTTGAGGTAGAAATTACAGCTCAAAAAATAATAAAAGTTAAAATTTTTAAAAATAAAATTACTACTTTTTTGATGTCAAATTACACATTTTACTATTGTAGTTAGAACTGATTAGGGGATATTCATGATCGACTATGACATTTCACGATCAATCTTTAAATTACTTTAAACAATTGTTATTTTACCGTTTAAAACATTTAATTTAATGTCAAAAAATAATAATTTTTTTGTATCGTATCAAATTACTAGTAATTGTTCATACCTAAAATCATTACTTTACTTGTAAAAAATTGTAAATATTTGTTCATAATAAAGACAATATATAATACAATTTCAACAATATAACTATCAAATTAATATTATTCAACGTATATGCAGAACATATATAATCAAAATTTTTATATAATGAAAGTCACGTTACAACTACTGTAATATATTAATTTAAACAATTGAGAAAATATAATTATTATTGATCAAACATCCACGATTTTAACATTTTTAATAAATTTTATCTCAAATTTAAAAAAATATAATTATTTATTTTTCTACAAGCTTCTACCCACTATTCATAACATTATCTCTGCACAATTTTTTCAATGTGAGTTCATGTAACTTTTGTGAGAAAATCCAAAAATTTCACATGAATTCTCATAAATATAAAAAAAATGTTGAGAAATTAAGATCAATTTTTTATTTGAGTTCAACTTTATTCGTAAAATTCAATCGAATTTAAGTTTAAGCATTAATTTATACTTTATACTCAATAGTCAAATTCAGTTCAATCTGAGTCTCAATCATAATCATGTCAAATCGATAATTAAATTTAAATTCGACTCAATTAACATTTCTATCTTAAACCTATAAACTAATTTTTATCTATATTTATTCATAGTGACACAATATTTTTTTTTAATTTAATTATTCTTTATTATTTTTACAATCAATTTCAATTTGACTTCAACTTGAATACTCATAAAATTCAAGTAAAGTTAAGTTTAAGCAACAATATATATTTTATGCTCAACAATCAAATTTAGCTCAATTCGAATTGTAATCATAATCATTTTGAACCGATAATCAAATAAAATAAAATGATTCTTGTTATTTTAGGGCCGAAAATTTTTTTAAAGGAGATTTTAATCGTTTGATCAATAATCTTAAAATAATCTGAGTTGTAAAAATTCAAAACAAACAATGCTAGCTCCTTTATTATATAGATATATCACAAATTACATATATATTATTCTCTTATTATACCATTCGAATATTATAGTATTTCTATTTCAATATGAAATATAACCTATAGTATAGTTATTTAACTCATTTTTCCCGCAAAAAATATGTATTTAAGATCCATTTGTATATTTGAAATTTTTAAAAATAATTCTGAATTATATAGAATCATAATTAATGACCTAATTTATGTGTCAGCGATTAATTTTTATACTAGTTTTCACAATATGCGAGAGCGAGAGAGAACTGACTGAGAGATACGTGTAAGCTGCATGAGCATCAAATAATATGAGATAGAGAAAGAAAATTATAAGAGAGATATGAATCTTAGAATTGTGGAAGCTGATGATGCACAAATTAATTTTATGCACCACCTGTCAAGTGATTAATCCAGTAAATAAATAAGGAGAGAGACAACACAATCAAAACACAATTTAAGTGGTTCAATCAATATGACTTACTCCACTGTGAAGGGCTAGGATGACCTGAGTGTTTTATTTCTTCAAGGAGTGTTGGTGCTTAAGTGTGAGTAATAGGCAAGATACAAGA